CAGGAATGATGTCTATATTTTGCTCACCATTTTTATCCCTAGCTTCTAGAACACTGCCCAGCACATTGTAGCTGTTAAATGTATTGAGTTGAATATAGCATTTCTGCTATAACATAATACATATTTTCCTGAAAAATCTCATATTTGGCAATATCCTGCGCTTAAAATACCAGGGCTCATGGGGGAAAATCATGTGAGAAACAGACAACTCAAAAGCTATGAGACTTTTAACCAGAACAACGAGCACCTAAGCTAACCATTTGGACAGCCCAGGCAGAGCAGCTCAGTAGAGCTAAAGGCTGCTGAGGTGGTATAATGCAGGAGACAACGCCAGAGGGAGGGAAGGAAAAAGGAGCTGTGAGCAAGTGGAGATGCCCTGAGGGTGGCACTGAGGAGGTAAAACCAGCTGAGAGCCAGGATGGTGAGGCGGGGGTGCCTCTCATGGAGCCCAGTGAAGCGGTGCTCAATTTCAAGTTTCTTAAAGCTGAGTGGCTCCTATCTCTGCAGCGGCTGAACTGGGGGTTTTTGCAAAGATTACAATTCTCTTCCTACTAGATTGGCATCTCTTATCTAGAAAAATTTATGTATTAATAAAAACCAGCTCAACTTCCACGTTATACTGACATAACTCCTATGACCTAATGGGTATTATAGAAACAGATTTTACCTGTATAGCTTTATAGTTCCCTCTACCATGTTTTCCTATAACCTAAAAAATCATCCTACTTATAGACATTGACACCTGTATTGAATAGTAAAACTGTCTGGATCATTCTGACCGGTACATCAATGATAAGAAATCCCCATTTACAAATAAGGCATGTTTGCATTGTTTATTTCTAAGTCACTTTCTGACCACAGATAAGCTCCAAGGTTAATCTACAAAAGCCTATGCAAACCATTATATAGTACAGGTTAGCATCTATTGAAAATAGACTATATGTCAGGCACTGGGTTGAGCCTTTTGCATATATACCTCATTCAATCCTAACACAGGTGATTTGAAGTGGATTCTAGTCTTAGCCTCATTTTACAGTTGAGAAAACTCAGATGAAAGAGGCTAGTTACTTGCTAAAGGTCACATGACCAGTTTACAAGAGCAGAGAAATTCAACTAATTCAACGAATGAGACAATAAGAGTAAGCAAGAATAGATTTGCAGTTCAGCGGGAACACTGGTGTTTGAATATAAGGTCCTGACACCCTCTCCCTAAAGGTCTCTGGTGTGAACCATTTCCAGGATGACCATCTCTGCCTAAATCTATGGACATTTCCACATTGAAGCCATATTTAGAAATTGTTAGTACTGGTTAATTCAATTTACCAACTCCAAAGAGTGAAAAAACAGACGAGTTTACTGAACAGCAATGGAACTTACTTGTATAAACTGATGGTCGGTTCAACTGCCAGCATAACAAAGGGTGCCACCGTGTATGAGACGGCCAGCTGAGTGACAGCCCAGGTGACCAAATCATAAACAAACTTGAGGGCTTTTGAAGAAAGGAAGTAATGTCTGTAGTTATTCCTCACCTGCAAGCCAAGGAAAGCAAAGGAGAGGGTAAAAAACAAATCTTTTACTCTGCATGCAAGTAGCATACCTCAGGAACACAGGCTATCAAAAACACCTACCAGCTGAGTTCTATTTTCAACTAAAAATATCATTATGGTGTTTCTTATTATAAAAAAAAAAAAGTTCACTATAGAAAACTGTTTAAAGAACTAAAAACAGATTTTTTTTTTCCTTTTTAACATCTCCTAGAGAAAAGCACTATTTCAAAACTTGGCCCATATCCTTCCAAGCCTTTCTCTAGTCATATATACCCACATTAATATTTCCAATGGCATCAATATATTCTTTAGCCTGTTTTTTCATTTAGTTAATACACCACGAATTTTTTTCCACATCAGTAAGTATTAATCACCAATACAATTTTAAGTCAATTATGGAAAAGTTAGTGCGTCTCCCACCCCCTGCGATTGTAAACAATTCTGTGATGCATGCCTTGGTAGATAAGACCCTGCACTCTTCCCTAATTATTTCCTTTGAATAACAATAAAATAACATTAGTAATAAGAGCAGCTACCATTTATTGAGTGCTTATTCTGTGCCAAGCCTTTGCTAATGCTTTACTTGTGCCATCTCTATTGATTCCCCAACAAGCCTATCATGGAAGCATCATTATGCCCATTTTACAGACAAGGAAACTGAGAAATTCTTACAGGTCTTTCAACACACATGACTAGATCTGCCTCCAGAAAGACGCCTAATTTCCAGATTGAAGAACCAAAGGCAGAGCTGAAACAATGGCTGGCTTATAGGTAGGTCAAAGCAGGAAAGGCTTCCCAGTGCCGTCTGGTAAGCTGACTCCTCTCCTTAGCCCTGAGTTCCTCAGGACAGAAGCTAGAGGTCCAACCATGGTGGGATTGGGGGCAGCATGTGCAGTATTGGGAAGCATGTAAGGGATTTTATTAAGTAACTTCCCAGGCCTAAGACACTTCATGACTATTTGAGGACATTCTCCTTTCAAAAAAAAAAAAATGGGAATACTGCTCTATCGGTCCTCTCCTCTCTCCACTCCCTACCCAAATCATTTGTAAAATGATTTACAAAAGGTCACCCAAAAAAAGGGCTTTGTATAAATCAATGTTTTTATGCCAGTTGAGGTCAACTGAAGACATTTTAAGAAATAATATGCTGAATATAGTAACAAAATTCGGACCTTTGTTTCTTAATGTGTCCTGGCCTCTGTTTTTCAGTTTTCTTTTATAATTCCAAGAGGTATGTGAATGAGAAAATGCCTTCCCTATTTTCTGTGCACAAATATGTACAATATATACTTTATTTTTAAAATGTGCTAATCAGCATGAATAGTAATCAATTATCCATCTTTTTCACAAATAAATGCCAACAAATTTTCATCTAACTAAACGAAAAACTCCATGAGGGACTCTTGCCTTGTTCACGACGGTGGCCCAGCACCTAAGAAGCCGACTACATATGGTAGGGCTCTGAAATATTCATACATAGGAGAGGTGAATTACAGAATAAGTGAGTAGCTATGCTGGAGCTCCTAAATCCACATCCAAAACACAGTTCAACAAATGTCATTAAAAGCTCTTGGCACCTTTGAATAAGAAAGCCCACAATCATTATCAAAGACTGAAATGAAATCAGCTATGTACAAACTCTATATTTGACAATTAGAGCACATTGAATTGTAACTACTTATATTCATCTCATTCTTTGAGGGCAGGCATATTTTTTATTCCTTTATAATCCTGCTCTACATCCAACAAATAGTAGGAACAGTCTAGGACAAACTGAAGACTACCCGAAAAACCTAGAGAACCAAATTTATAAAATTCACCAAGGATTTTATACAAACTAATGCAATCGGATCAGACATGAGAGGTTAAAGCAATCTCTAACAACACAGTTCTCATGGCTGCCATCTTACTGGCTGCTCACAAACTCTGAATTATTTCTAGGCTTAGGATAATGAAATGAGGAATGAAGTGAAATATAAGCAAAGTGAAGTCTTATGAAGCCCACATTAATTAATAATCATCGTCACCTGTGATTAATAGGTTGTATATATTTACAGCCCTTCGTGATTAAAAATGTTTCATCTCTTAAGTTACTAAACATTGCTCCTAAAATTCCTTTTGTTCCACAAACACCCTCTGTAAATAATACGTAAATAATATGAAAAATGGTTAACCATTTTATGACCACAAATTGCTATTTGCTTAAGTGTTTCTCTAATGAGAAGACTGATTTTTCAAAACATCACTCCTACCCCCTCATTCCCAGACTCCTGATGGGACTAAATGACAACAAATATACAGGCATCAGATTACTAAGAAAAAGACCCCATAACCAAAGGAAGCTTACCGTTCTGGCTGCTAGTGTGACAAGGGTTCCAGTTAAGAAGGTGAAATAGTACCCAGGATAGACACCATGCCACAGGGCAGACAGGATGAAAGTGAGCACTGTAGGGTACCAGGGGACCCGCTCGTAGCACACTCTGTAAGAAGAGGCAGGTCCAATGAGCCACAGGTCAAACATACCAGAAACTTCCAGCTACACTGGCATCTTTTTGGATCTGACCCGAAGAATGCCTGATGCCCTGCCTGCCTGACCCTCTTTAGGGACTTGGAATGGATTCCAAATAGTCTGAACTCTAGCTTTCTCGAACACTACTAGAGAAGCAATTTGCAGCTCCATCTTTGTGAGAGAGTATGATTTTTTAACCTCCATAGAACTAAATGTTCTAGACCCTATCATCCTATATCTAATAGAAATCTAAGTGGTCACTCTCTACCCAGCAAGAGCTTCTGCCACCAATGGCCTAAAACAGCAGGGACACTTATAAATGTGATTGACACTAAAAATTTTGGAATCAGGATATGGGCCTTTTGAAATGGATATACTCATTTAGTCAAAGTTAATTTATCTTTTCAACCTGGCCCCTATGCCTTCTAATACTGCAGTCCTCTTCTTCTCTTTTGGCAATGACTCCAGCACAAAATAAATGTCGGTTATATGAACATTTCAGCTCTCACTGTGTCCATCAGATTTCAATCCACGAATTTGCCTTAAAGGGTGATATAGTGTGGTTCTAGAAATTGTCAGCAAAATACTCTGGAGATCTCTGGCTCCTTGGTTATTAAAATAAAGTGATATGGGGCTTTCTCCCAAATCAAGTCTATGAATTACCAATGGCACCATAAGGAAGCCACTACATGGTTTACTAAATGAGAGGACCCCAATAGAAAATAAAATAGAAATTCAAACTGCTAACATCAATCCAGCACTGTATGGGTTGTCAAAAGTAACTGACTTAAATCCAAACTAAGGATTATGGCTCCTTCTTCCTAAGAAGAAAGAATGTATTTGGGGGGAAAAACATGGGACCAGGAACACCCCACTTGTAATGTTTCTTTTTGAAATGAGAGGTAGTTTGCATATGTATTTCTTACCTTCTGTATCTTTTTCTATGAATAAAATATTACATTTTCAAACATGATTTTTTTTTTAATATTCTTTCATTGTTTATGTATGTTCAATCATATTAGAACATAAACTTTTAATGGAGACTGTAGACTTCGGGTACATCGGGATTACTCAATATACAGAAATAGAGGTTTATAGTAAAATTATTTGCAAAATTAACAGCAATATTATTAAGGGCAAATTTTCAAAAATTGCATGTTTGGATCAATTTTCAGACAACACTATTGAGTTTACTTTAGGGAAATTACTATACATTTTCTTTTTTACTCCAATGTTTTCACCTAAGAAAAACACTACTTATCAAAAACAGAATCTACAGCTTAATATTTTTATACTCTCCCTGCACTCATGATAGCAATATTTACTAGTTTCAGGGATAGCGTATTATTGGTTTCATTAAAAACGATGTTTCTAATTTTGGAATTTGTAGGGATTGACCTGAGAATTAAATGAGTAGCTGGTACACAGGCAAGGCAGGATTAAGTGTCTGATGTATTAAAATAAATAGGCTACATTGTGAACCTCAAACCAATATATTTCTACTTTTGCATTTACAAGGCAGAGATATTAATACAAAAGTGTCTGATGACATTACTGCTGACAGACTATTGCTATTCATCTAACAACACCCATCTAAACATATCCCAGTGCCATGAGCAATGAGGTCGTTTTTGTTTTTCTTACCGCTTTAGCCAAGTAGCTGTCTGAATATTCCAGTTTTCTAAGTACATTTTGAAACTTGTGGCAGTCTAGAAAGAAAAAAATAACACCTATCATTAGTTTTAAAAATACCCCGAGTAATGGAAAGTCCTCTCCAGAATTTCCCTGGCGGCAGATTAGATGTGCTATTTCAATAGTGATTACTCGGTCAAGATTATATCAGCTGTTCCATCATACGCAGTAAAATTCTGGTGTTTATAAAATTCACTTTGCTTGCAAAGTCTCAATTTTTCTCAATTTAATTTCAAATTACAGGAAAACTGAAGGAATGTTTTGTGGGTTTTCCTTCCACTCTGATTAAAAAAAAATTTTAGGTCATCTAAATTTTAAAATAAATACTCCAAAAGGGGATTTACCATAGGAAAAGTTTAATCATGTTAATTTAGTGCCTTTATGGAGATAGATTGAACTTAATTGTCATCTTTTCACTATGTGGCCATCTATAAACTAGGTCAGTCTTGTGACATTACAAGCAGCTGCACAGGTTCAAATGCTTCCAATTGTATCTAGAATAGTAAGAGATTTTATGCATAAAGGAGTCACAATACAAAAGAGAAAACAAATATCCAACTGGCAATGACACAGGTCATCAACCACTGAGGAAGAGACAGTCCAAAATGAGCCATCAACTAGGTTTCCTCATTCAAAAAAAAAAAAAAAATCTTTTCCAAGTCTGGTGGTAGAAAGCGTTATACAAACATTCAAGAACCAGAATGCCTAAGGAAGGTGGAAAGTTCAAGAGTCACTTTTTTCTGTTTCAACCATAAAACCTCAGGCCGCACCTTGGCCTAATGTGTGGAAAAGAGAGGGAGAGAAGGAGGGAGATAATAGACAGATGGAAGATGACAGATGATAGACTGTGTATTATGAGTTTTTATTTCAAAACCCTAAGTTTTATTTATACATGTCTTCCACAGCTAATAAAATGCTCTATGTACAGCCTCAAGGTACCTTCGCTAAAACAGATTTCCTTGGTTTCTTTAGCTCTGTCTATATCAACTCTATAGAAAATGCACACTTTCTTCTTCTGGTTTTCCTCTATGATGAATATGTAACTAGCTCTTTACCCTGAACTTACAACCCCAGTGAAAGGACTCTGTCTTGTGGTGCCTAGCTGACGGCACTGGTGGGCAGCAAAAGGTCAAGGGGAGACACTGTAAAGGACATTTGCCCACGGCCCTCCAAGGCGGCCAGCAATGGTCCAAGAGTTCTGAGGGAGAGAAGAGTTTTAGTAAGAAAAAGGAGGAAAGTTATAACATATTTGTACTCACTCTGACATCATCTACACAGAAAAGCAAAGCTTGTAGATTTTCTACATTGCTTTTCTAAATATGAGGAAGGTGGTTCTGGAGGCTGGAGCTGTCCATGTAAGATGAAGAAAGGCCTCCAGTGTCAAGAAGGTGGATGGTATTCCCCCAACCCCCATGACTTCTTGTGGCCCAGTGTCCACCTAACTTGGGTGGCAGGTGGTCAGTCTCCACATTCCTGGCTTCTCAGTCAACACGCACATCTCTTTCTGCCCAAACTCTCTAATGGCACTCTGTCTGCCCTGTGGTGGGTGGAAGATCTCAACAAACAGTAAACACGAGTCACCTGGCTAAAGAACCAATACTCCTGTATACTGAGAACCATGCCCTTCCTCCTGTCCTACTGCAAGGAGGAAAGGGTCTGAGATTTGGTGTTCCTATCTGCTCCAAGTGCTGACAATGCCAAGGAAACCGAGAGTGTGGCCCCAAAGAGACCACTTTTGATGATGAGGACATATCAGAATTATGGTCCACGAACTAAACCAGAGAAAGAAGAAAACCACATTGATTCTAGTGACTGAAAGCTGTGCACCATGACACTTCTTCTTAAAAGGAAACAGATTACATTTCCAAAGGAACCACAGCGAACACTTAAGATATTGAAATCTAAATACAAGAGCTTCCAGTCTGTGTTTCTGACCGAAGAAAGTAGAATGTGAACGAAAGAAAATGACATCTGTACCTCCTAGTTGAAAGAACAGAAATGTAAACCACAAAAAAGATTTTCCTGGCTCTTTTTCAAATTTTTATCATTATTCTTTGAATGATTAAAAATATCAAAAAAGGAGGTATCTTACTTTAAAAAAAAAAAAAAAGAGAGAGAAACACAATTCAAGATACAAAATGTCCAGGAGGTTGCTGGACTTGGCATTCCCTGATAGCAGCTTTTCCTTGGGCACTGATGAAGATCCCTGGACAATGCAATCGAAGCAAACCATTTGCTTTATTCACTATGGCAGCTTAATTCAGAAGCACAGTAGACTCACCTCAATTTTCCAGATGTTTAGATTAGAAAGCAGATCCCAACAGAAATTTCCATTCTTATCCACTCCGCTGAACCCAAAGCCAGCTGCATTATTCACTGCATCAGCTATGGTTTTCAAAACAACACATTAGGATATGGAACAAAAGTCATATTGCTACTTTGAAAGATACCAATATCTGTTTAGCTTTAGGATGGGGAAATGGAGATATGCAGTAGCTTCCTTGGAAAAGGAACCAAAAAAAATTTAAAGAAGCTGGTACTATTGTGACTCAGAGAAACATTATTGGCTTTGGTGACCTCAATTTTTATTCATTTATTTTTATTCTTTCACTAGCATTTAGTGAGCACCTGCTAAGAAGTCGCTAGATACTCAAAGAATACAAAATGAGAATAAAAGAGAAAGAACCCAAACAAAGCAATAAAATGGAGGATTTAGTGACCAACTTGTCATAAGAGAAAGAGAAGTTGAAAGTGCACAGAAGCACAGAAGCAGAGACCAGAAGAAACAGGGGACCCCGTAGAAGTCCAAGAGCTGACATGTAAGATGGCAGGACATTAACTGGTAAGATCGCATTAAGTCAGGAAGAGAACCAGCTCTGAATGAGAAAGTGGAGCTCATTCTGAACATATTAAGTACGACATGTCAGTAGGATATCAGCTGGGGCTGCCAAGCTGCAGTTAGAAAAGTCTGGAATATAAGAAAAGGAAAAGAGTTAGAGATGTGAGTTGGGGGGCAGCTGCCATAGAAGCCACATGTGGACACAATACCAAAGCCATCCTACTCATAAAGCCAGTCTAAAAACTCCTGTCGCCAACTTTGACTTCACTGAATGACAAGAAAATGTCCCCCTGCAGTGAGTATTACCTTTCTAATGAGCTCCTTAATGAAATTTTTGTAAACAAATATAGACCTGATAAAATCAGTATACTTTTACTATGATGACAAAGGGGCTAATTTTTCTCTTTTCATTGATCTTATTTCAAGTTATTAGATTTTCTCTAAAAATAATCAAACTCATTAAATCACAGCATGGTAAAGTCTTAGATCGGAGATCTTGGAGAACTCTTTCTTTGCCGTAGCTGTATTCATTCAGGTTCCACAGGAGTTCAAGCCCAACTCGAGATGGACTTCAGAAGGACTTCAGAAGGACTAAAGGAAAACAGCCTGTTCTATGTCTGTCTCCTTTACTTCTGGCATAGTGGATAGTTTGTTATTTATCTTACACATGGCTTCACTGTAAAACGATATGGTTTCTTTTAGAAGAAATAGTGAAAAGTACTGAGTCCTTCTACGCCATTCTCCCAAGCTGACTGGATGAAAACTCAGTGAAAAAAAAAATAAAGAAAAACAAGTGAGAGTGTGCCAGTTAAGAAACAAATTGTTTTAAATGTGTGGGCAAAATCTGTGAATGACAGGTCATTCACTGAACTGGAAGAAGAGCACTTGAGGTCTCTGTTGACAACTAAAAACAGGGCTGGACTGACCATGCTGGGACCAGCATAGCAATCCCTGAATCCTTTCTCCCATCTCCAGCTTCAGCTATGACTGACCTGGCCAGATCTTAAAAAACAAACAAACAAAAATAATAATTATTGTGCACACGTGCATTTATTATCTTTTAGGATTCTGTAAATTACAGGCATTTCTCATTTAACGCTTACAGTGGTGTAAAGATAGTCATTAAGGGCGGGCTCTGGAGGCAGATCTCCTTGGTTCCTATCTCCACTTGGCAACAGAATAAATGCATGGTCTTGAGAGAGTTGTCTAACTTCTAGAAACCTATTCGTTTGAGTATAAAATGGCCATAATATGGTACCTATTTTAAAGGCATGTTGAAGAGATTAAGCCAGTCCAAAACTGGATTTATATTGTTCATGGCTCTAATATATTATTACAGATAAAATGATTTGGACACCCATATTGTGGAGTTTGTGATCTTTAGAACACAACCTGGGCCAAAGTTTAGTCTAACTAGTAGCGGAAAAACAACCAGAATTATATGCCAAGTCCAAAGAAAATTGCTGTATTATTTCAATATAAACAGTAACTAGAACTAAGCTATCACAGTACAGCTCAGCTGAGATTCATCAAGAGGCCAACTTTAAGGATTAAATTTATAATCATGGATAATTACTACATCAATTATATGTAAATGGTGTTTTAAGGAGCTGAATAAAACAATTATTTGGTTAAGTAGTTTAACTGTTCCCTGTTATACTATTCACTGCTTCTTTATTCATAAATAATACACAGGTTAATTTCAGATCAGCCCATGAAATCTAAACTGTAACGAACTTCAAATTGAGGCCATACAAATTAATGAAGTGCATCTACAGAAGCTACCAAAAAAAGATAGAGGAGTAATAAAGAGCCAAGTCCACAGAGAAAGCTATCCACAGAAAGGTTATTTCTATACTCCAAAAAGCTGGGATATTCCCCCCAAAAAGCAGAACAATGCCAGATACCCCCAATTTCCTGCGACCCCCCACCCCACTTAGGTCCCCTGCAGCGCAACCCACCTCGTGTCAGATTTTCCCTATGAGGCCATGGAATGGCCTTTCCTCCTTAAATCAAGAGCTGATTTAGTCCAGAAGCCAGCCCATAAACCCTGGGATACAGAATATGGGAGCGGAAAGGTAGGGAGAGGGGAAGAGAAAAGGAGGATAAGTGAGGAAGAAGAAGATAGTAAAAGGAGTGATTCTCTCAATCTCTCTCACACACACACATACACACTCAGGTTAAAGCAAAGTGAAAATACTAATGCACACAGAAAAATATGCCTGGTGTTCCAAGTAGGGTTCCAACCACAGCAGGTATAATGCCTACTCACTAAGGAAATTGTTTTGAAATAATATGGCAACTGCAGAAAAAGGAATAAGATACAAGGAGATTTTTGAAGGCTTCTCCAATAACCAGTCCATGTTTGTCGTCATCTTTGTATTCCCACCCTGGGACAGCTCTTGATGCGTACTGCCTAGTTGGTATGAACATACAGAGTGTAACAGTCTTGAGGGCAGAGAAGATGTCCTAACTTTGGATTCCTCATAGCACAGAACCTGGTACTCAACTGAATGTGACCAGAAAACAAAATCTCCCACACTGCAAATTTTAGAAGAGCTCTAATTCAGACCTCTCTGGCTAAGTGTTACATAAATACCACGTTGGACTGAACTTATCCCCGAACACTTAGACCCTTAAAAATAATTTGGACCGGGAAGTGGGAGAGGTTGGAATGGGAGTTATTACTGTTTAATGGATACAGTTTCTGCTTGGGGTGATGGAAAAAGTTCTGGAGTTGGAGGGTGGTGATGGCTGCACGACCACATGAATAAACTTAATGCTACTAAACCGTACACTATTGATGGTTAAAATGATAAATTTTGTTATTTATATTTTACCACAATAAACAAGAAACATGAAAGAAATAATTTAGTAGCCACAAACTAATTTGGGGCGAAAGCCTTGGATTATGAAATGAGAAAAGAAGAACTCATTAAATGTTATGCCCTCACCCATGAAATATGGGCCAACAAGCACTAGAATCTGAGTTTAATAATCTATCCGACTGAATAGTCACTGCTCTGTGACATCAAGCCCTAGGTCTCTTTCAGCTAAGATGTTAAACTCCCATCCTTGGAAGGGTTCCAAATGTGAAATACATACAGCTGCCGTGCCATATCAAAATCCTTTACCATTCTTGATATGTAGAAGGGTTTATTGGTTTATTGTTCCCTTTAGCAAAGCTTTAAACTTTTCCGGTCTAAAACTGTTTGCAAGGAAAGAGAAAACTTAACATTGACTAAGTTACCTCGTAAGAAAAAAATGTGATAAAACCAAATTTAGTTGAACTCTCTATTTTAAAAAAAAAAAAAAAATCACTTGACGTCAGCTTCTAAGGCAGGCATAACAATTTCTTAAAGAAAAAAATACAACCTAAATTAGTACACGTGTTGTTAAAAATTAATGTGCATCCTCTCTTACGCACAACCCCCAAAATTATCAGAAAGTCAGATCATTCCAGAATTTTTCCATAACTTTTCAAGGCACTAAATAGCCATTTGATTGGTGGAAGAAGCTTCCAGGGTAGGACGTCTGTTAATAATGCTAAGTTAATACAACAGCTAGGATTGCTTTTCTCCTTATCACACATAACTGAGTTTATGGACAGCAGGAAAGAGGAGTGCTATGTTGGGAAGCAAAAAATGACACCGGTTCAGCTGCTTTCCATTATGTATTGGGCTTTTTTTGGTTAGGTGATCCAAGCAGTCATTTTTTTCCTCATTCAGTTAGGGCCACTCCATCGAACTTACCTAACGTCCAAGCAAAGTAATATTTGGGCTTTGAGGCTTGCATGACAACATATAAGTAGCAAAGTCGAGTCGGAAAGTTTGCTTTATGAACAAACCAGTCATCAACCAGGCAGGTGACAGGGAAGGTCTTCGTGAGTGTCAAAAACAAGAGGAGGGACACCAAGGTCATGCACAACTTACGTATCACAGCTCCCTGAAAGTGGAGAGAAATAAATCAGTTTAACTATTCAGAAGACTCCAGTCAGAAGAAGACAATTTTGGCAAGGGCACATGAAGAACAAGGCTGTTCCAATAGCTCCTTTGGCAATGTTCCCTAGAAGGAGTAACAACAGGCATTCTTTCTCATGACACAAATGCCATGATGGGCTTATGTGCTATATTTAGATGCAGAATATACCCCTGACACTTGAGGACTGAATGTATCTAAAATGGAAAAAAACTTTCACCAGCAAATACCACCAGGAAAGAGTAGGTGGTTTTGTTACCCAAAACATAAGAAAAATAGATAATATTACATGGTAGTAACTTCATCAGAAAGAAAAAAACATTTGCCTTCCACTTCTATAGCCAGCAGAGCCAAGAAAATGAGTTTGAATCGCCAGCAAAGAGGACAGAGGCTTAGTTAAGGAGGGACCTGGGCATTTGATTAAATGTCTGCACCAAGACACGGCAGGTTAATAGAAAGCTTTAGAAACCTTCCAGGATGGATAAATGTAGCCTGCTCTGTGGTTAAGATGTACTGACATTTTAAATTCCTCAGGATGGAGTGATTTTGCCCAGTTCCCCTGGCATTCCAGGGAATGTCATTTCACACCAACACGATTATAGTTCCTAACTTTATAAAAACAGACTACTTTTATTTGTAATATAGGGATAGCACTGGCACCTCCCCCAGAGGGTGGCTTGGGGTTTAAGAGAATATTTACAAGGTACTAAGAATGGTGCCTGGCTTCCAGTTAAATGTTCACCACAATTAGCCACTGAAGGGGCACCAGCTCATGGGTGCCAGACCCCTCCCATCAATGTGTTTTTAGCCAAAAGGCAACCTCACCACTTCAGTTTCTCTGCACATAAAAATGCAAGAATCTCCTTGGAGAGTGATGTTAATTAAGACTCTCTAATAATATTTTCTAAATAAAAGCATGTAACACACGAAAGCACTACTGTGACAGACACTGCCTAGAAACACTTGTGGTTACTTTGATGTCTCATAGCAATGGTGACTTCACTCCTAGATTGTTTCAATAATGCAGTCGGAGCTGAAACATTTTTCTAACCATAAAGTGCTGAGAGGAGCCAACTGTGTCAAAACTATCTGAAAATTCATGCTTAATTAAAAAATCACTTAAATTTTCAAATACTTAATTTGCCTAGCCTTTAACCACCATTTATGAAATATTTAATTATCCTCATTTTCTCTCTTATCCAATTTTCCCCATTCCTTCAATGACAAATTTCCCTTAAATATAGGATATGATCTAAATAAATTTAGCAAATTTGTAAAGTTCAGTAAATTATCCTATTGTAGACTAATTGGAGATTAATAAAATTCAGATTAAAATTAAAATATTATTTCTAAAAACCATATTAAAGCTAAGCAGGGTCGGGCCTGGTTGGTACCTGGATGGGAGACCACCTAGGAAGACCAGGTGCTGTAGGCGTAAAAAATAAAGGATTGTAAACTGACAAGGTTCTTGCAATCTGTGAGGTCAACCAAGGGTTGACTCGCCTGAAAAATAAGTAAATACATACATACATACATACAAACCATATTAAACTCTCCCAAAGTCAATAAAACCAAGCTTTGGGCATGTCAGGGTAAAACCGGTTTTACCCTGCAATAAGCAGGCTCTGCAATAAAAAACATATTTATTCTGGTTCCCACTTCCTCCCCCTCCACCTTTTATGACATATTACCTTTGGCCAAACGTGAAATTCTATTCATAAAGACAAACACTCGAAATTGAATGTGTTAACTAGTACAGTGCCGAGCACATCATAGGCACTAAATATTGGCTGGTTGATTAATGGATTGATTGCTTTAATCTCCCAGCCAATGAGCTCCTCTGGGAAATAAATATCTGCTGCTCTAACACAGAGAGCAAATAAAATACCGATACTGGTATTTTAAACAAACGGGGGGCGGTAGGGGCAGGGGTTATTGGACAAATTTTCTGGTAAACTGTTTGGCTTTCTAAATTAGAACAATTATTAGTGAGAGTCAGCCCTGGCAGCAAAACTATTTTCTGGACCTCTGGGTAAATCTTGGCACTAAAAACTTACAGTGGGAGAAGGTTCTGGCAGGCTGTGGAAATCTTTTTGCTTCCAGTTCACTTCTAGCAACTTCATATGTGTATGTCTCCCCTCAATGAAGGCTATATAGTCCTTGAAATTGTTACAAGGGCCAGCTATGACACTCATGAAGTTGAGAAGGTAGCTTAAGTATTCCAAAAAAGAGGGTTTTACTCTGTGAAAATAAAAGTAAAAAGTTAAAATGTCTCCAGTATTTAATTTTTCTTCCATACTTGCAAATAAGCAAATCGTAAACACAGGTGTTATCTTTATAGTTTTATTAAACATAACATGATCTTGTTCTGTTTCTCTAAAAATCTGCTTGAGCGAAATCTTGTTGAAAGTAAGTTAATGAGACCAGTGGCTCCGAGAAGGTGCAGCATTCCGTGGCACCCTCTGCTGGCCAATCACTACTATACACACAGAGGGTGGGGTCTAGGGCAAAGGCAACTCTGAGGCTAGGAAATGCTTTCTCATCAACCTTAGCTGTCTACAGGAGAAAATGAAGGTAAATATCAGGCAGTGTGGGAACCTGACCTATTGTTAGCTGATTGAGATGCTTTGAAACGGGAAAACTACCTCCTGAATGCCAAAATAAATGCAAAACAAATGATGGGTGGAACCAGTTTCCACTTGAAGAGGCCACACAAACTACCGCTGTAGAGTCTCATCTGTTTTGGCATCCAGACACGAGGTCCTGAACAACAGACTAGAGTGGTGGCAGGGAAGAAATTCGGTAGAAACCAGATCTGTATAGTGTTTTAATGGCATTTTAAGGGGCATGTTCTTCCAGCAGGCTAGAATTGTGGGGAAAGGCTTTCTAAAATCCGATGGAAATTATGCCCTAATAGCATTTACACTCCCATAATGCTTAGCAAAGAAATTGATTCATTAGACTCTTCCAATGGTTCTCCATTGCTCCAAGTCCCAATTCCTTAATGAAGGAATGAAGTTCTCAATCTCCTTGCCTCCTGGGACCCACCCTCTTCCCAGTTATCTTCTACTACTCTCCAGTAGGAACCCTTTTCCATGGCTGCAGCACCATCCTCAGTATGCTGCCCCATATGCCATTTCCACTCCCATGTTATTTTCCTACTTTGTATAGGCTCCCTTCCTCTCCAACACCCACCCTCTTTCTACTACACATCAACACTGGCCCAAGGCCACCTTCAACCTTTAGCCTTCCTCCTTCCTCCTTCCTATTTCCAGCCTGTATCTTTTATATCGCCAGCTCTATTTCCTATCATTTTTTTCATGCCGGCATTTAATCATACTGATATGTATGTATCTAATTGTTTCTTGAGGACCCAAAGACACATCCCAATAAAAATAATTCTGGAATAAATATAATAATCCCAGTGAAGGAGAATCCTACAAAACTAATAAAATTACAGATCCATTTACTCTTTGGCCCAGCAAGCAATCCCACTTCTTGGAATCTATCCTGTACCTATGCCCAAACCTATTTAAAATGACCTGTGGATAAGGTTATTCACAGCTTACCATTTGCCAAGCCAAAGACTGTTAGACAAACCAAGTGTCCATCAATAGGAGATTCGTTAAACAAACAATACTGCATTCATAAATGGAGCTTATATGCATATATTAAAAATGAGGAAGATCTCTAGATACTGATATACAAAAGGCTTGAGAAGAGATTGTTAAACTTACTTTACAGCAAGTCGATGTTGCTCAGCAGAGAGGTCTTCAGCTCTTTGACCTAGTCCTATAGAAAAGAAAAAATTTAGAAATAAGATGTTTGAAGTGAAGTAGATAACTAATTCTAAAGGACTTATAAAACTCCTTCAAAAAAGGTGATTGATTTTTGTTTCATAAATCATAAAGGATTCCTGTATTCCATTTTTTAATAAACGCCCTGATCAAAGGGCTACCCGTAAGTACAACATGTGAGAAAGTCTCTCCAGATTCTTATGGAGAGAGAAGAATTCATGGGTTACTCTGATTTAATTCGCACAGTATAGCATGGATCCCAGAGAACCCTCCACATCTGCTATAATCCTTACAACGCTGTATATGTTTTTGTTCCTATATGAGAGAAGTAAGCCTGCCTTTGCAGCCTGCATCAGCGTAAATACCGCTCCAATAATGCTCGGTGCAGATACCTGGTACAAGCTAAGAGCATGGGTGTAAAATGTAATGCGGAAAGGAATAGGGGCTTTCCTCTTCCAAAACCCAGGAAAAGTAACCCTGAATGCAGGGAAGACACAAAAGAATTATCAGGAGATTTTCTTCTTTTAAAACTCATCCATGCCAGACAAACTCCCAACCAAATCACATTCGTGCTGCCCATAATATGTATTTGTTAACTTAGCATCAAAGAAACTGAAGTGTTATTTCATAAGCGTTAGAAGTCAACTTTAAAACTGTATGTTCAGCTAAGACTGATACGGTCACAAATCATAAAGTCAACTCAAAAACATGCCTAAGAGAAGGCAGAGTGGTTCAGGAATTTACTTCCTCCTTCCACACACAGGAAGAAAAGACAAAGGCAAATAAACATTTTGCTGCATGTAAGGGATGTTCCAGAAAACAGGGTAAACTGAGAATGCTTACAAAGGTAAATTTAGGCAAAAAGCCTTTCAAAAAATTTTTTAAATAACCAAAAGGCACTTTTAAAAAAAAACACACATTTTTCTAAAATCTCATCAAATAGTACATCTCTGGAAATCCCAGAAATTACTTTTAGCTATTGATTTATGTCGCTAATGTTAGTCTACAACCACAATACTGCGAGTGAATTTTCAGATACAAAAACATCAACCAAATCACCCCAGCCTGCCCAGGACTTTCCCAATTTCTACAGTGAAAGTCTCACATCCTGGGGAGCCTTTCAATTCTGGGCAAACCAGGACAGTCGACCACCCTAGAAAGACTCCATCCTTTGTATAAAATTACCTGATTCTCTACAGAATGACTGAGTCACCAAGAATGAACTAAGAATACACCAGGTCACAATGAAATTAAATCAGTTTCCAAGCTTTAAGGAAAAACAAAAAGACTAACAGAGGTTGTAAATCTTCTCAACCTGTCAACACATAAAGAAGTTTCACCAGTCAGAAAGCATTTGCCAGAAAAGCACAAATCCCCAGAATATACTTTTAGGAATTGCACCTGCCTCCCCCGGAACCCAGTTTTAAAAGTGGAAATCACCCTTTCTGGCCATTTTCAGGAAGGGCCTAAATAAAAAAAATGTTCGGTTTTAATACAAACAGAAGATCCTTTCTTCTTTCAGCTTTTTATAGATTATTTTCTAAACCAAACAAAACAAAAAAACAAACCTAGCATCCAAAAATGGTTAACTAGCCAATGTTGCTTTTTATTACCTCATGAGTTCCTCAGAGAGTAAACCAATGAAAAGATGCCATTTTTTCTTAACAGATTCCAAATAAAGAGTAAAGCGCACCGTAAATTAACTTAAATTTAAAACATTGTAAAAGTAAACAGAAAACCTACTGTTCTCAATGCAAATATTTCAGCAAATGTAAGCTACAGATTCAGGAGGGAAGCAATAAATAATAGCTGGGAAAGTAAAAAGCTATGATTAAAAAGGCCTGCAAATTTTGGACAAGATATAGCAAGATCCGCCAGCGCTGTCTAAACTGGGGACTGTGTCTAGTGTATAAAACAAAGTCAGGCTCACACACTTGGAACAAAAAGAAGAGTCGTTTTTCTTACCATCATGAATTTGGAATGCCAAGGTTGTGATCTTCTGAGTGACAATCATCAGAGGCCTAAAAGGAAGACAGGAAATAATCAAGATTGGCAGAAGTGCCACTGAAAAAAAACTTTTATTCTATTTCTTTGCATGATGATTTTTCCTTTTAGATTATTAAGTAAAATACAAAAACATTGAATTCAACATAAACAATTTTTACTTTCCTTCCAAATCACTTGAAATAAGTAGATATAACAAAACTGAACAACAAGATCACACTAGAAAGTCCCTCTTGAGCTGTCACTCAAAGCATAAGTTCTAGGACTGTCCCCATCAGCATGGCCAGCAGACTGTTAGAAATGCAGGATCTCACATTCCATTCCAAAACCAGAAATTAAGAATCTACATTTTAGCAAGATCTCCAGGGATTATGAATGCACATTAAACTGTGAGCAGCACTGGTTTGGGGTACATAATCCAGTGTCCTGTTTCCACCTGGATGAGATATGTATTTTGGCTCTAATATGCTCTGTTCTAATAAAGGTGATTCTTCCATGCACACATGGTAAAAGATACACTGGTAAAATGCAGCTGCCTGTAAATAAACCACTGAGTGACTAAAATATAACACCAATCTCAATTTGAAAAAAGCCAACATGGTTTTCTTGATATAACACCAAAAGTACAAGTAACAAGTATCATTAAAAATTTTTCGTACTCCAAAGAACACACATCAAGTGAAAAGACATTTCACAGAATGCATGAAAACATGTACAAATCATACATCTGTAAGAGACATGTACTAGAATATACAAAGAACTCTTACAACTCAAAAATAAAGACAAATAACCCAATTGAAAAATAGCCAAAAAATCTAAAGGGTCATTTCTCCAAAAAGATATACAAATGGTGAACAAGCACATGAAAAGATGCTCAACAGCAATCGTTCATCAGAGAAATGCAAATCAGAACCAAAGAGATACCACATCTCAAGCAATAGGATAACGAGAATCCAAAAAAAAAAAACAAAAAACAAAAAACAACTATTGGCCAGGAGGTGGAGTACTGGAGTGCCGGAACCCTCATTCATTATTCGTAGAAATATTAAATGGTGCAGCTGCTTTAGAAACAGTCTGGCAGTTTCTTGAAAGGCTAAATATAGAGTTACCATATGACATGGACCTTGAAGAAGCCAGACACAAAAGACCACATATTGTGTGATTCCATTTGTATGAAATGTCTAGAATGGGCAAATCCACAGAGGAATGAAGTAGACTGCTCATTGCCTAAGGCTGGGGGGATTAGGAGGAAATGAGGAGCGACAGCTAATTCATACATGTTTCTTTTAAGGGTGATGAAAATGTTGTAAAATTAATTGTAGTGCATGGCTGTACTCTGTAAATTTACTCTGTGAATTATATTAAAAACCACTGAATTGTATACTAAAATGGGTGAAATGTACAGTATGTGAATTGTATGTCTAATAAAGCTGCAATTTTTAAAATACACCTGTTTTTCCAATTGCCTACCTTAGTTTAGTGCCTTTAGTAGCTCTATTCTTGCCCAAAAAGACAAGATAAAATCCCATGGCTCTACCTACCATATTTTCCTTCAAACCTACTGGTTTTCTGATCTCCATTTTTATGGCTTCTTACTGAATTTGCCATTTCTGATCCATATGGACTGACAGCTCATTTAAATGGAATACTGAGGCTTTGATCAATGTTCTATGGAGGTGTGCCTGGGATGACCCCAGGATGCCACACAGCATCTGTGCCCTGAGCTGAGGCCAGGTCCAAGTGTGTGGGAGGATGAGATCGGACACAAACCATCTTTAGGTCAAGTCTGATGTGTATTAATTGCACTTAGCTACTTCTTTGTGAGTCCATTTTCCTCTTTAATTCCTCTCTTAATTCCGATTTTCCATCTCTTTAAAAAAATAACCACATAATTTCTTAAACTATCAACATAAGTTAACAAGATAAAGTATTTTAAAGTACCAACAAATACCCTTCAAAATCTGAACACCTACACCAAATTGTATATCTTACTTGCAAAAGCCCAGTGGCCAGTGGCATCGCTTGAAATAAGATTCCAAATGTTGTGTGAGGCTAAGAGAAGGGGAAATGAGTATGACTGCAAAAGGAAAGGGCACCTGCCAGGACGAGAGAGAAGTAATTGTGGCAAACAAGGAGCCTCCAAGGCAGTCATTCTAGAGCAGCAAGACATGCTCATAGCTAACAGTAACATGACTACGCTCTTTTACATTGGAATAAAAACTGCTCTTCCAAAACACTGAGGTTTGGGTCCTAGAAATAAGGACTACATGGAAGCTTTCTATAAGACCAAGTTGGATATATCTTTGCAGCTCACCTTCTCAATACTGGCCAAGATCTCTGACCCATAATGCATAATAGATGCCAAGCGCTCTTTTTCTTGAAAGGGATTGCTCTAAGCATCACATTCAAGGTAGTTTCGAGGATGACTTTCAAAGCCATTCTTTCAAAGAATAGTTTTCTCTCCAAAGACTTTTTGCCTTCTTCCTCCCCCCACCGCCCTCTGCCCAAAGTCCTAGGAATCAGTAATAGGACCTCGGCTCCCAGTCTCCCTTACACAAATGTCAAGTATAGAGTTTTTAAAATTTGAGGCACACTCTCTGGTGACTACGCGATTTGCAAACCAAGTAAGTTTGCAATTTAATTCAATTTAATTCATAACTTCATTTTTAAAGGGCCTAAAAAATAAATATATCAACAAAGACCAAAAAAAATGTGTCATGGAATTCGCCTACCCTTCTGTCTCTATAGAAATATAGCATTTGTTTCCTCTATCTGGGGTTGGATTTAATATATTCTATAATTAGGCACATGTTCAGCAAAGCATTTGGTAAGCGATATTCACACATGCAGTGGCCATAAGAACACACCTCTCAAATTGGTTCTGAGGGAGCATAACTAACTGGCTCCAGCTGCGCCCTCTGATTCTACCACCTCGTTTGCACTGAGCCCTGCCTCTAAGCTAATGACTGAGCACAGCAGGGGACCCAGGCAGGACCCTCTCTACAAGGAGTGGTACTGCTATACCAGGGGAATTTTAGCTCAAAGACTTTCCCATTGAACTTGCCAAAACTTTCTTAGAACTGCATTGCAGTCAAGACCTCTCTTCCTTCCGTCCCCCTCTCGTCTCAGGGGTCAGACATGTATTCCAACCAATGGTTCTCCCACCCTCATCCAGGTATTTGCCTCCTGGTTCTCCCTCACAGGCATTTCACTCTACAAATCTCTTATACTTCTGTTCTCATCTTGGCATCCACTTCTCAGAGAACTCAGAGTAATGCAATACATAATACTAAATAGCTAGATCAATGCCCATAAATAACAATTATTCAATATGAAATCTGCAACACTGAGTCGATGTAAAAATTAAGTCTTTAGGAAAAAATGTCCCTTTTTGGAACGAAAATATTAGCAGCTATTGATCAAATATTGTTACATCATCATCCAGACTATACATTCAACAATACACTGCTTCTGTTTTAAACATCTAAAAAGGTTTCTAGCAACCTAAGAAACAACTCACACATAACATCGTGGCTTTATAAAACACAATACACTAATAACTTATGAAAAAGCAGATCTAAAATCCACAAACCAGAACTAGAACCCATTCACTGAAAGGAAAGAAGTTATAATTCTCCAACATTCTTACTTTTCCAGGGGCATTAGGAGGAGCACTCCGGGCCTTTGCTCTTGTTCAAAGTCTAAGATACTTTTTCACTGATCGATTTATTTAAACTTATGGGTAGATCAGATGCCAAACTGAGATCGCACAAGTTACTGAGATTCGAGAGTCAAATCTGTAGAGTTACTGACTTAAGATAAAACACAAATTCGTGTTGTATTTCAATCAAAACATAATATAATCTAATACATGTCTGTTGGTTTGTGGGTGGAGCTCATGCTTTCTTTTTGTGAAAATGCAAACCCAGCATACACAAGCACACACTACCAGCACAGGAAGGACACAAGAGGCTCCTTGATGCAGCCGAAGAACTTCCTTAGGACAATGAGGCCTCTGAACTTGAGCTACACTCAGATTTTCTACCTCCTGAGAAGTATGCCCTCTATCCTCAGATTTGTACATGCCCGCTGTCATGGGCCCTTCACTTGAATCCATGGAAACCATCTGACCAATTTGAAATAAGGGTTGAGTTCAGCATGGCTGAGGTAGGGCCACTCTGTTTTTGTCCTATGAATTTTTTTCGTAATTTAAAAAAAAAAGGCCAAAGAAAATCTTTTTTCTTCCTGCACCTATAATTATTAGTTGAATTTGGATAAGGAAATATAGGAGGAAATGAAATAAGTAAAACAGGCAGTTGGAGATGTGTTTAGAATCACAAGAAAGACAGAACAATGCCATTCCTCCCACTCCCACCCCAGCACATACACAAAATCAATGCCTTCTGATACAGACTTTGGGCAATGTACCAGAAGTGGTACTCATTTATCCATTTCGATTCCCCATATCAACTCTCAACAAAAAAATAATCCATCTTTAAAAAAATCAAACAAAACTCAGTTCTGAGCAATATTCCAAGGAGATCTACCTGTTTTACCTTAATCTTTGGACCTAAAGTGGTTAAGTTCTCTGTCCTGGTAAAGCTAGGATGGAACAATGAGATAATTCAGTCATCAAAAGAGCCAACCGATCATAGAGCTGGCTGGCCAGCTTCAAGCTAGATCTAACATTCAAGGATCTTATTTTCCCCAACCAGTCATTTTAGATCCAAAAAAATGAGACTTTATATTTGTATTACTTCTTTGTCTACAATACAAATCCACATGTAATCATACTAGGAAAGTAAAGAGTCCTGCGAGTATGAAGTTTGGCAGGCTGGGAGAATATGAGCGAGAACGACAAACTTCCAATCAGCTGCAACCTAGGCTGGGGCTGCCATCTTGCAGAATAACCAGAGGTGCCAAAGATACAATGCTAATTGTGCAACCCGTAGCTGTGACCCAGCCATGAAGGAACAGAGGAGTACCTCCGCACTCACTCTGCTTCTGCCCTGCTGTA